CGCCACCGGTCCCAGGCTGGCTTCGACGGCCGAAGAGTCCTCTGGCCCCCACGCCTCAGTCGCTCAGGTGCCGCGGGGAGCTCAAACCGCTCTGCCCGGAATGTGCTACACAGCCAAGAGTAGCGTCTTGCGCTATCTCAACTCGAGCTCTGAATGTGGATGAAGCATGCAGTTTGATTAACGCATCAACTTTACAGGCAGTTCGTAAGGCCACGTCAAAACACAGTACTGAGAAATGTAGTTCGTAAAGCCTTCGAGACAGTCCTCTATCTGCTAGTTTTCAAAGCAGTGCTACAGCACCAGTCAGTTGGATTATAACTGATACTGTTGAAATTCAGTCCTCTAAGCTTACTGGAAAGCACTACTACAAATTCGGGTTTTCTTTGCTCTATATCGAGGCCTAAGCTGGCTCTTATGATCGCAAAACCACAAGATTGGATGCTTTGCTTTCTATTGAGTGATAAAGAAATGTGGAGAGCAGGCTGTGTATTTCTCCTCAGCTGTCAGATCAGGCTCTGAAGTGGTGTTAGTGTTCTGTCTTTATAAACCAGCACTGTAGTCTCTGGAAAATATATTGTTGGTTGCAAAAGTCAAACAACAATGACTTAACCAGCAATTCTAAAAGTCCAAAGTCCTTATTTTTCAAATAGCTGATGTGACAGCCAATTGCCAGAAACACATATTGTCATACAAGTAGCATGATTGGAGCATGCAGGGGAATTAATCTCTTCTAGGAAGCAGATTGACTGTTTCAATATACAGTTGTGTTACAGATGTAATGTTTAGTAGACAAAGTGGTTTTAAAACTAGGTTCTGGGACAGATGCTTCATCCAACTAGTGGTATCAGTCAGCACGATAGGCTTGTTTATAGGGTATTCTGGTATTCATAATTGAATTTGCGTACTGTCTTTCAGTGTAGATCTGTGCAAGTTGCCTAGTGTACATAAGCATTAGTGTATGTAATACGTTTAATTATTAAACCTCTACAGACATGTCATGCTGCCAAGAGAACTTTCAAAACAAGTGCCAAAATCTCATCTGATGACTGAAGAGGAATGGAGACGACTTGGTGTTCAGCAAAGTCTTGGCTGGGTTCACTATATGATCCATGAGCCAGGTAAGCACATCTGAACACTATTAGATGAATAAAAGAGTCTAAAATATCAACTGTGTGGTGCTCAACTGGAGTGTGTTGTGCATAATTGCTCCTGCTGTGGAATCCAGCTGGAATTCACTACTGAATGTTTAGACTCATCTTTATCTCCTTGCTATTTTAGCCCTTTGTCAACAAAGGCAATGTAACAGCCTTTATTTTAAACCTTCATATCTTGCTCCCAGAACTGCAAAATGCTAGGCTTGTCCTAGGTATGACAAAACATGCCAGATTGGAAACTGTTCCTACCTCTGCCTACACAAACAGACTTCTCGTGACCTCTTGAGTAATGTTAGTATCTCAGTGACTGAAGCAAACTTTATGCAGCAACATGTCTTCAAATCATAAAGCCAACACACCCACTTTTCATACAAATAGATGCTCATGTAGACAAGGTCCTGTATTAATTATCTGAAAAGTCTACAGTATAGTTTGAACTCTAGTTATACAGCCTGCTAAAAGCAGCACTTAAAACCAGTCTTTCAATTAATAAAGTGTGAAGCCCTAAAACTACCAACTCGGATGTGCTGAAAACATCTGTTCAAGATACCTTTTAGTCAAGCCTGTCAATGGCTTAAGTAACTGCTGATAGGTGAATTGCAGCAGCATGAGGTTCCAAGTTTATGAAGAACCAGGTGAAGAATTAGTGTAACCTTCCTATGTTTCCCTTGCCTGGGCATCTTTGATACTTGAGGCTTTTTTTGGAGGAGTTAGAATTAAGTCAGATCAATAATAACATCAGCCAGCTGTATTAACTAAAGTGGCTTCTGTTGGTGCTTGTCACTATGTACCAAATGTCATCAGCAGTTTGTTAGTCTAAGTTACAGTAACAAAGCTCATGGACTAGCCTAATGTAGGGGCACAGCGTTAGTACTGATACAAGCAAAAAATACCCTGTATCCAATACTTCCCTCCTGTAAGCCTCTTCAGTTTATGATGCTGCCAACATTTGGTATGAAACTTTCAAACACACCCGTTTGTTGTAAGGTTACTGCAAAGCTGGTCTGCAAGTATTACACATGAGACCATATCTGTGGACTTGACTTCTTAATCTGTTTATTATTTGACAGCAAGTTTCAACTATTGCCCAAGCCTTCTTAAATGGAGGAAATCCCTGTAATCAAGACTCAGGTGACAGACTGACGCTTTGTTCAATTTTATTTCCACAGAACCGCATATTCTTCTGTTCAGAAGACCTCTTCCAAAGGATGAGCAGAAATGAACCATTGTCTATAAATCTCCTCCTAAATCTGCTGCAACTATGTATATGAGTGTATATATGTCAGTAGTATTCAGTGAATACTTTAAAGTGTACAAAACATACATCCATGCCTGTGCATGAGCTGTATTATTCACAGCAACAAAGCTCAGTCAAATGCAATTGCAAGTAGGCTGCTATGGTGTTCAAAGAGTGAGGAAGTTTTCTTTTCTGCTAATGTAAGTGCCTATCTGACATTTCAATTAATTTTTTTTCTTAATTTTGTGTATTACATGTTCTGACTGGATGATTGTTTGCTACCTGTGTTCAATGACCTTTACACTCAGCTTTTCTGCTGAAGTGCAGCATGTTGAAATCCAGTCGCTCACCTGTTTAGTAGTAGGGATAAATAAATAAACTCTATTTTAATGCTTTATAAAACCTAAGTGTCTAGAATTCTAATTCAACAGACAAAAATATTCATTGTCTTAACATGTTAAGAGTACCTACTTCATAAAAAAATGAACTTAGTGACTGTATTTTGTTTCTCTACGAATTATTTTGCCCTACAGGCCGAAGTTCCTAACCTTGATTTGAACTGGGATCTGCAGGCAATCTGAAAAGAAAGCTGGCAATGATACGTAATACTCAGAGTAGCTTCTAACATGCTCAAATTATGGGACTCTTGATGTAGGTTATAATGAGATGAATTATTCTGTGTTGACTACTTGTCATCCTACTTATCATGAGGTGTCTGGTGATAGGATGCGAGGGAATGGCTTAATGCTGTGTGAGGGGAAGTTCCAACTGAGTATCAGGAAGAAGTTATTCACTGGGAGGGTGGTCAAGCACTGGAACAAAATCTGGGAAAGTGCTGGTGGCCCCAAGCCTGTTGGTGTTCAGCAAGTGTTTAGACAATGCTCGTAGATATAACAGTTTAACTTTGGAGTTGCCTTGTGCTGAGTCAGGAATTGAACTTGATCCTTTTGAGTCCCTCCCAACTTGGCATATTTTATTATGACATGACATAAACTTGTCTTAAGGTGTTAAGCAGGACTTAATGTCATAGAGATTTTTATGATTGTTTGATTTATGTTAGTAGTACCAGTTTATCCTTCTGCCACAATCTTTTTAGTTAAGCTTTAGCCTGCACTTCCTGTCTTGCATCCCATTTTTCCTGGGAAGCTAGCTTGTACTCTGTGTAGGCAGTAGGGTTTTAGAAGTGGTGTTGAAGTAAACCAAGTGCTTTTCACTTGATAAAAGCAGCTGCTGCTTGTAGGACGGTATGAACTCAGTTTCCTCACCATATAAGAGGTCAGGGATACTACAGTGAAACTCTGATCAGTCCTTTTCTTAGGAAGCTGTGTGCCAGCAATGGCAAGCTGGTAGATGGACTTGATCTGACAAGTAGTACATTGCATCAAAATGATCACTGTGGCATCTTGGGACCCTGTGCTAGTAGCCATACATCAGATTTTTCGAAAAGGTGCATCAGTGTATTCGGTGTTTGAATAACCATGTAGTACCAGTGGTGGTGCCTGGTTCACTTTGAAACGCGAGCTAGCCTAACGTCTGCGCAGTGCTTGGAAGGCCAACAAAACCGGGAACAGTTGCATGTAGCTTAGCTGATAAAGTGCATGCAGTCAAGGCTGTTTTGATGACAGACAGAGGTGAGTAACCTGCCAAATCTGGTGAGGAAAACAACCCTTATGGTCCTTCCTCTAAAGCTGCTAGAAGTTTCTGTCTTAGTAGTGGTCCAGTGATCTCCATGCTGAAGTGCAAGAATTCATGCTTTTACCCCTTAAGTCGGGTGCTCCAAGTGCCAGCAAGCACCTTAAATAGAGGAACCATCAGGATGAGCCCTGGTGAGCTGTGCTGAAAGCCACGTTTTCCCCCAGGAGTCTTCTTGGCTGTTGTCTTTTGACGCCTCAAAAGGCTTTCTGCTCACCTGTCGCCTTTCCGGTGTCTGTGCCCTTCTTTGGGGGTCGAAGATCAGCTGCACATCCCGGCTGGGCGGCTCGGGCAGGGACCCGACTGTGCCTGTTCCCCGACCGCTCCGTCGAGGCCGCTCTCGGCACGTGTGGTGCCGTAGCTCCCGGCTTTCTCCAACAGGCAGCCGCAGGTTAGGTGACAGCTGCAAGCGTTTGCTGTTTCCTCAGAACACTGCGCCGGGCTCGGGGCAGGCAGCCCACCGGGGACACGGCCCGCCCGCCACCGCCCCGCTCCCTCGGCGGCGGCGACG